GTACATTTCTTGTCACTTGAGACGTTTTCCTGTCAACAATCCTATTAAATTCTCAAGAGTCTGCGCAACATACTAATTAACCAGAGTCAACCAGTGAGATTGAGTATCATTACACAGAGTCATAAAAAGATCGGGCGGGTAAATAAGTAAATTTTAAACCCGACAAAGAGACAGAGTTATTTATCGAACTTCCGAACTAAAAATCTAAACCTTTGCCGAGAATCTTTCGCGAGAATTCAAACCATCGTGAATCCCCTTTCGTATCATCGATTTAAAAATTTTCACAATTTGATCGAGCATGAATTTAAGTGAATCGAATTTTTTTTAAACTCGAATCCAATCCCTCAAAATTTCAAAACTTTAAGCGAATAATTCCTAATTTCTTCCAACATTTCAATATTGGAACCTCGACACCATGAGAAATAATAACGAGAATCGAGTCTAATAAAAAAACCTATTCTAATTAATTTCCAACGATTGTTCAACCTCGATCGATCGATCATCAAAAATCCTTTATTTAGGTCCAATTTTTAAAAGAAAAAGAAAAAAAAAATTGATAAAACTCGATTCCGCGGGAAGAGAAAAAGAAAAGAAGCGAAGGCTGCTACCTGCGGCGTGTCGCTATTACCTGATGACGTCACGAAAACAAGAATTACGCAAGATCGTGGCTGGCAAACGAAGGTTTCATCGCTGCCGTTAAAGCGTAATTGCTCGCCTCGTAAACATCTTGCCTGCCCACCATTCTCGCTCTCCTAATTAACGTGCACCCCCTCCCCCTGCAATCGTGCCAATATATTGCCGATTTCGCGTATTCGTGACGAATTTTCGTAAAACTCGTGAAATTCCGCATCCTTGAACTTGGTGGCGAAACCGTTATCCTGAAATCGTTAAAACTCTTTAAATCTTTACCAACAGATTCTTCCTCATTCAGAGGATTTCGAGAATTGCGTGTATCTCTCGTTATGTTATTTTTCCTTTCTCGAGAGAAAAGATTGAAAAATTATAACATAAAACATCTTTTTCTATCTTTTCGAGCACGAATCGATTCCACGGTGCACGATTTCCATCGTTTCTGCTGTATCCTGCTTATTCGTCGATGCAAATCGATGATGCAAATCGACGAAGAAGAAGGCGTGAATTTTTAATGGAGGGAGGGGGAGAGAGAGAGAGAGAGTTCTCATGGACGATGCGGATGGATGCACGGAAACTGTACGCGATAATCCGGCTGCACGACAGATGGAGAGGAAAGCGGACACTCGACACGGTGTTTGCACTCGAGGAGATAAAAATATTTGCACACGGTGCACTTCCACTCGGCGTGCACTCGATGCATCGTGAAAGTATTTACCGTTGGCTACCCGGCCAACCGGATATCCGTGATAGCGTTACGATTAATATCGAGTTTTATTCGTCGATCTCTCTTTTTATTTTTCCAATTCATTCGAGA